GGAGACTGTTGTTGCACTCAAGTCCTACTTGCAAGATTTCCCAGAAGGCCTCTGGTTGGCCACTGTGAGAACAGGATGTCAGGAGCTCGTCCTACTCTTGAGTAGGACCCTGGCAAAGACACATGCCCAACTGGCATGTTCCCTCCCTCCTGGTTGATCATTCGGGAGCTTCAAAAGCTTTCTTCTGCCCAAACATCACAGCAACCGATGCCAACAGACATCGGCACACTTAGGGATCCCAGAGTCTTCGCGGTTCGCGTAACAGACCTCAGCAACTCAGCATTTTGGCTAATCTACTTTATTTACATATAAACACACACGGAGCACTGCAACATGGCTCCCTCTCTCTCTAGCATCAGACAGCAAAGAGAAAGAACAAAGGACAATAGTCCCACTTCACAGAACACAGTAACACAAACATTCTGTCTCTGTCACTTCCCACACTGTGGAGTCAAAACATACACCGTCATGTGATAGACAACAATCCCATGACTGCAATCACGGAGCAGGAATTTTAACACAGGATGCTGGATTTGGTGGACCCAGCAGGCTTTTCTTATGTTCTTAGGCTCCTATTCTGAGGCACTGTTTTCTGGGAGCAAGCCGCATTAAACAAAGCACAGTTTCCTTATGAATAAGCGTACATAGGACTACACTGTTAGTGACAGCAAGTTCATGATGGAACCTACTTACTTGATCCTCTGTCTACCCAGAAACATAGGAAGCAATCTTACACCAAGTCAAGCCATTGGTCCATCTTAACTTGGTATGGTTTAAATTGACTGGAAGTAGCTCTCCAGGGTATCAGGTAGGAATATTTCTGAACCCCACCTGGAGGGGGCAGGAATTGAACCTGCAACCTCATGCAGAACATGCGCTGAACTATGGCCTTTCCCTTAGGAAAAGGGAATGTGCTGCACTTTGACTATTCTTATACAGGGAGTTGGTACGTTCAATGTATGCAAAGCTCTGGAGTACTACAGGGTTTCCCAAACTTGGGTCTCTGGCTGTTGTTGGACTACAACTCCCATCACCCCTGGCTAGCAGGACCAGTGGTCAAGAGGCTGCCCTTGAAGCTGACTCAGAAACTCCAGCGGGTGCAGAATGCTGCGGCGAGACTCCTCACGGGGTCCTTGCCGCGGGATCGCATTCATCCAGTGCTTTACTAGCTGCACTGGCTCCCGGTGGTATACAGGGTCAGGTTTAAGGTGCTGGTTTTGACCTTTAAAACCGTATGCGGCCTAGGACCCTCATACCTACAGGACCGCCTCTCCTGGTATGCCCCGCGGAGGACCTTAAGGTCCATAAATAACAACACTTTGGAAGCCCCAAGCCCCAAGGAGGTTAGATTGGCCTCAACCAGGGCCAGGGCCTTTTCAGCCCCGGCCTGGTGGAACGCCCTACCGCAGGAAATCAGGGCCCTGCGGGATTTGACATTTTTCCTCAGGGCCTGCAGGGCAGAGCTGTTCCACCTGGCCTTTGGGCTGGACTCACCTGGCCTTTGGGCTGGACTCAGTCATTATTTTTTTTTATGGAACCCCTTATATGGGATTTGTATACAAATTTCCCCTCGGCTCTTTTTTGCTGGCCCATGCAGGACCAACATGGATAGTTGGCCCCGGTGAATATTTGACATTTTCTCCCCTTATGGCTTTGATCTATGGGCTACAAGGCTGCATTTTAAGCTGCATGTTAAACTGTATTCTAACTTATATTTTAATCAACTGTTGTTTTGTTGTTGGTTTGTTTTAATGTTTTTACTGTATTTATATTCAGTGCTAGAAGCCCTGAGCCTGGTCTTGGCTGGGGAGGGCGGGGTATAAATACAAAATTATTATTATTATTATTATTATTATTATTATTATTATTATTATTATTATTATTGGAACTGTAGTCCAAAAACAGCTGAATACCCAAGTATGGGAATCCATGCATCTATCTGTGGAGACATCATTCCTTGCTTGCTGATACATCTCTCTTGGGTATGGATGGTGTGATTTTGGCATAGACAGTTGGGGAATAGTATGTTAGTAGTGAATAGATAGAGTAGGACGGGTTCTGTGAAGATCTACTTTCTGTTGTCTGTTTCAACCTTACACCCAGTTTCATCTGGCAATTCCGAGATTTGGCATCATATTTATTAATTTTATACCACTCTCTCACTGCCTAACAACTCTCAATAAATCTTTCTCCTTCCACCAGTCCTGAGTAAAATCTGAAGCTGCTCTCAATCGAGTTCTGGCACTGAAATGGCTGTGACTGTTAGGGGGTAAATAAAACCTTGTTATGCCTTGTACGTTTCTCCCCCCCCCCTTTTTTTTTGCTTTTCTTTAAAATAAATAAAAAGAAACACTGCAGAGGAAAAGGTTGCATCCTGTAAATTGATCAAAACCCTTGGTGATGCTTTCACCTTAGATACTGGGAAGCTGTAGAACAATAATTCGAGTAGGATTATCTGGCAGCACTACACTGAGCGAGATCAAATTAAAATTGATCCTGAGAGTTGCATGCCCCTCTCCAGCAGAATAATTCAAGGTAATGCGGTTATGCCTCCAGAGCTAGAAGCAGGGGAAAATATATACCCAAAATTCTCGGTGTTTCTGTATCCCTTTGATTTCTGCTATTTCCCCCAAAGCAGCCAGGCAGGGCCCAGCCCTACCATGAGGCAGAACGAGGCAACTGCCTCAGGTGACCGATGCTGAGGAACAAGGGGAGGACAGTGCTATTTGTGCCTTGTGACCCCTAAGCTGGCCCGTGCCCTCGGGTAAAGTGGCAGGTACTGTTCTGCTGCCAGTGCTGAAGTAAGATTAAGTTGCCAGTCTGCTTGGCTTTTGTACATGGAATGAGGAGAGGAGCCATGTTGTCCTTTGCTCTCTGGTCCACTCTGTTACCAGCCAATGTTTCTGCCCCAGTATCTAAACTCCAAGCAAGACCAAGCATTCATTTACAGTGGTGCCTCGCAAGACGAAATTAATTCGTTCTGCGAGTTTTTTCATCTTGCGAATTTTTCGTCTTGCGAAGCAAACCCATAGGAATGCATTGAAAATCAATTAATGCGTTCCTATGGTCAAAAAAAGTCCAAACAAAGCCAAATTTGGTACAAAAAGAGTTTATTAAGTGCTCTTTAAAGTCACACATACTGTAAAGAGCATTTGAAAAACTGAAGGAACAATAATTTAAGTTTCTAGACATGACAGAAAAGCATTTAAAAATCACCAAAGTGTACTGTACATACATTTTCTAAGACTCTGGGGGACAACTCGAAGAAGGTTCCTCTTCCACTCTTTGCTTCTTGCTGAAGAACATGCCAAACACCCCAACCCAAAATCCAAAACCCCCCCAAAAAGTTTTAAAAGTTTAACTTACCAAATGGCTGCAAAAGAAGTTTTGGAAAAGCTTCAAAAATCACCAAAGTCTTCAAAAACCTCAAAAAAGACTACCACACCGCGTGCTGTGAGTTACTCCTCGAAGTCAAGTCGCAACTGCACCTCTTCAAGCAATGCACCCTGGGTATTAACGGTTTTAAGAAAAAGGAAACAAACTTGCAAGATGTTTTCGTCTTGCGAAGCAAGCCCATAGGGAAATTCGTCTTGCGAAGCAGCTCAAAAAACCAAAAACCCTTTCGTCTTGCGAGGCATTCGTCTTGCGAGGTACCACTGTATTTAGAAGCATGTTCATACTGCTTTATATTGTTACATTCCACTCCGAATTTCTGTCAAGCGGTAGTAGTAGTAGTAATACTAATATTATTAATAATAAATGTCATTATTTGTATCCTGCCCATCTGATCGGGTTGCTCCAGCCACTCTGGGCAGCTTCCAGCATATATAAAATATATTCCAGGGGTTCCAGGTATTCACTCAAGAATTTGTGTTTCTGTTGGGAAATCAAGGCGCAGCGGAGACTAGTGTATTTAAGAAAGATGGTTTATTTTACACGTATTTGCACCTATAGCCTTCAGTGATGGCAGTGCAGAATATTACACCCCGAGTATGTCCCTTGTTGTTCTTCTTCTCATAGCTTCAGCAAGCTGGGGTACATAGCAGCAGCCAGTCATGGCCCCTGGTTTCTCAGAGCAGCCTCCTCCAGCCAGTATAAAGCTCTGCCTATGTTATGTACTGATCCAAAAGGCAGCAGTCTGATTGGTCCTAGAACAATAGGATTCAGAATGCAGCAGTCTGATTGGTCCTAGAACAATAGGGTCCAGAATGCAGCAGTCTGATTGGTCCACAGGAGCCACCCAATCCAGCTCCAGGTGGAAGTGAATCTGCAACCTGATTGGCCTACAGGTGAATCCCAGAATTAGCCAATCACGTGGGGGCCATTGTGTAAATAATGTATATAAAGCAGACATTCTGGGGGAACTTCCATTCCTCCTCAACACTATGAGCTGAATAAAGAGCATGAAATCCACTCTCGACTCCGAGTATATTTAAGCCTACTTTCTTCTTCTTCTTCTTCTTCTTCTTCTTCTTCTTCTTCTTCTTCTTCTTCTTCTTCTTCTTCTTCCCAGAAGCCTTTGCAGAAAGCATCTCCTACCTCCAGTGGTGTAGCATGGGTTGTCAGCACCCGGGGCAAGGCAAGTAATTAGTGCCCCCTAACCCACACATCTGGCACCCCCCCTCCACAGTTGGCAGCGACCGTGTGGCTCGGCTTGGATTCGCACAGCCAGCACTGCAGTGAGAGAAAGTGAGTGAGCCAGGTAGGGGCAGAGAGCTGCGAGTGTGAGCGCCCCCCCCAGATGTTGTGGCCGGTGTGGCCGGCCCCCCCTGCACCCCCACACTACGCCACTGCCTACCTCTGTCACCCTCCATCTCAGAAAGGACTTTTTCTCTTGTGACATCACACCCACTGTAATCCTAGCTGTCTCTTGTCTGATGCTGAATGTCTCACTTTTCCTCAGGGTAACGACTCTGTCATCACCTGTCTTTGTTCTTTGATGGCACCTCTCTAAGCCAAGCTCATGAAGAAGCAGCCTTGTCTGAAAACCCCAGATGTCAGCCTAGATAGCTCAGTTGGTTAGAGCATGCTGCTGATAACGGCCAGGTTGCAGGTTCAATCCCTGCATGGGACAGCTGCACATTCCTGCATTGCAGAGGGTTGGAGTAGATCAGGGGTCTGCAAGCTTACCAAGTGATGGGCCAGTTGATGCTCTATCCATCGGAGGATGGGCCGGAGCATGTGCGCATGTGTACTCTTCCGGGTCGGAGGAGCGCCCGTGCGCATGCGCACACGCTATTTCTGGCGCTCCTCTGACCTGGAAGTGCGTCGGAAATAGCATGTATGCATGCACACGGGCAGTTCTCCATCCTGCATGCATGCACACATACTATTTCCAGTGCACATCCGGGTCGGAGGAGCGCCCATGCACATGCGCACAGGCGCCATCAACCCGGAAGTTGGTCCCCGTGCCGCACTGCGCTGCGCTGGTAAGAGCAGGCGGCGGGGTGGGGTGGCAGGGGTCTCCATGGGCTGCATAGACGAGCCCTGTGGGCCGCTACTGGCCCACGGGCCTTAGGTTGCTGACCCCTGGAGTAGGTGATCCTTAGGGTCCTTTCCAAATCTACAGTTTTGTGATTCTATGATTTACTAATTGCAGAGATTACGGGGAGATCCTGGCACCCAGGATTTTTAGGCCCCCTGAAGACTCATAACAGTACTGAAGACAAATAACCAACGTGAAGTACAATGTAACATAATAAAATTACAGCACGATAAAGGCAATAAATCAATGTGAAATCATAAAACAGTGATGCATAAATAATACAATATTCAATCTGACAGTAATATTACTGGTCAGGAATTGCCTGCTTAAGCAAATTCACTTTAAGCATGCAGCGAAATGATAGTACAGTTTGCTCATCCCTAATCTCAGAAAGAAGGCTGCTCCAGAAAGAAAGATGCCATTACAGTGGTACCTCGGGTTAAGAACTTAATTCATTCCAGAGGTCTGTTCTTAACCTGAAACTGTTCTTAACCTGAGACACCACTCTAGCTAATGGGGCCTCCTGCTGCTGCCGCGACGCCGGAGCACGATTTCTGTTCTTATCCTGAAGCAAAGTTCTTAACCCGAGGTACTATTTCTGGGTTAGCAGAGTCTGTAACCTGAAGCGTCTGTAACCTGAAGCGTCTGTTACCCGAGGTACCACTGTACTGTTAAGGACCTCTTCCAAATGTCTACATGATGGAACTCACTGATCTCAGGGAGTGGGCAGATATATATTTTAGGGCAAAAGTATATGGGAAGCTAATGCGATGATTATGCATTGTTTGTGCCAGCTGTGGGGTGTTGTTGTCGAGGAGTGTTGGGATTTCAGGAGGGGGGTTGGGGAAATTAAGTTTTCACTGTGGCCGTAAGCACATAAAAAGAGCCCGCAGGATCAGGCCAGTGGCCTGTCCAGTCCAGCATCCTGTTCTTGCAGTGGCCAACCAGATGCCTAGAGGAAGCACTCAAGCAAGAACCGGAGTGTAACAGTAATCTCCCCTCCTTGAGTTTCCAGCAACTGGCATTCAGAAGCGGGTGGCGCTGTGGTCTAAACTGTTATAGTTCAGAATTTATCTGGTTAAATTCCCTGGTGTGTGTCACCTGCTGACGTCAGCTTACAGCTGGGCGGAGACAGAAGCTTTAGAAGCTGGGCGGGACTATTCCCTGTTTGTTCAGTCCCACTCTGTGTTTCGTGGGGAAAAGACGTAGGTCTGGCATGGCTGCAAATAGTCCTGGTAATTCCTGAGAAATGTTGGAATAAAAGCTGTAAATAGACGGACCTGTCTATGTGTGTTTGTCTGGAAGCTGAACCAAGCAACGTGACAGTTCTACACCGCTGTGCGGAAACTCTGCTGAGCCGTGACGGAGAGGCGCTGCGGAAGTGTGCCGGGCAGCCATATATCGCTAATCGAGGTTCGTAAATCAATTAGCGGGAGTCACGGCTAACTACCAAATGTCACAGGTTATGGGTCCATAAATCATCGCTTGTAAAACTGTCACGGAAGATACTGCCGGGAGCTTTGAAGTCTGCGGTGTCGAGCAGGGGGCCGGCAGGAGGCGGAAGGACTTTTTGCCTGATGTTTGCCTGCGTCTAAGAGGCAAAGAAGCTGCTGAGAGAGCTGCTGGAACACAGAGCTAAAAGCAAGAAGCAGCTGGGAGCTGAAAAGCAGCTGGGAAATCGTTTCTCCACGGAAGGGACAGCCAGAGAAGCTTGTGAGTACAGCTTGGGGCCCCTTGGGAGAACGGGAGAAGATGGCAGACTGCCAGGATATACCAGTGGAAAAGCTCACTCTAAAGAGTTGGGCAACGTGGTCCAGGAGAATAAGGGGATGGTTCTTGGTTGAAGGGCTCTGGGAAGCAAACCAGTGGGAGCCAAAAGAAACACCCCTTAGCCGGCCAGCAGCTGGAGCAGGTGAAGCAAGCTGTGGGGCTGTGTTGGCTGAAGATAGCCAGAGGCTGCAACAAGAGCTGAATATGCTCAAAGCATGCGTTGATGCGTCACTGGGGCCTCAGTTGGAGGGCGTAACGACAGCGTGGGCTGCCTGGAATTTGCTGAAAGGCTTGTGTGAGGCGTCAGCGAAAGGCCAGAGCCCTGGAGGAAGCCCTGGAGAGGCAGAAGGATGCCCAGAAAGCCCAATGGGGGCTGGGACAGTGTTGGGAAGCTGTTGTAATGCTTCTACACGTCTGTGTGATGGACTGAGTCCTGGAAAGGCTGGACTGGCAGGCCCTGTTCCCGATGTATTGGCCTCTAGGACCACTAGTGAGCAGATCGGGAGGGCCAAGTGTTCCAAAGGCAAGTTTAAAAAACTTTCCACTTGTGCTGAAGCGGAGAGCAGCTTCAGGGGGGGCGAGGCTGGTGGGAGGCGCCGTTCCAGAAGGAGGAGGGCCAAGCCAGCTGGGAGCCCCAGGCAGTGTTTTTCCACTAGAGTTCAACATCTGCGTGGCAGTTGCCCCCACCGGAGCACACAGGCACGGCAGGATGTTGTGAAGGACATTTCTCATGGGAACCAGTCGGGTTTCCATGGCAACAGGCCTGGGAAGACAGGCAGGCGTGGAACTGAGCCAGGTGGCCGTAGTAAACAACGGGAAGAGTCTTATCAAGTCTCGGCGAGTATGGCAGTGTTTGAAGACGGCCGAGTGGAAAATTCCGAGATGGCCTTTGTAATAGACTCTGCAGCTAACCGCAACATGGTTCCAGAGACCCCTGCAGTCGAGAGGTGGAATTGCACGGCAGTTCCGAAGGGACAGACTATTAAGTTTGCAAATGGACAGAAAACTAGAGTTTCCACGTGTACTAATGCCTATCTTTCTGTTTTACAGGAGACGGTGAATTTATGTATTGTTCCAGAGATTCAACATTGTTTGTTATCTGTGCCTTATTTGTTAAGTAAGGGGTTCAAAATTTGTTTTGAAAACGATGTCTGCACGATCTCCAAAGGGGGGAGGTTACTGGCCAAAGTGCGGAAGGGACAGAATGATCTTTTCATTCTTAAAACGTCTCTTGGAGGTGAGGGGAAGGTTGAGAAAGCACAAGCGTTGCGTGCTACAGTTCCCAACCAGCGTGCTACAATTCCCGCTCATAATGTTACATGTGCATGCGTATGGCATCAGAGAACGATTCACAATCCTTTAGAGGATTTGCAGGTGTTACCTGAGGTTGTTACAGGTTGTAAGATTAAAAATTGTCAAAGTGCCATTAATTGTGACACTTGCAAGCTAGCAAAGGTAAAAGGATGCAGTTACCCAAAGGTGGAACGTGTAGCCACTAAACCTTTTGAGCTGGTTCACATAGATTTGTCCGGTCCTGTCAAGGCACCAAGTCTAGGGGGGGCCAGGTTTCTGCTCGTTTTTCTGGATGATTTCTCGCAGAATTCCTGGGCTCACGGTCTTAAATCCAGGGAGGATGCAGCACGGCTGATCAAGAGCTGGATTGAAGGGGTGGAACAGAGGTTCTCCACCAGGGTTCAAGCTATCATCAGTGACAGAAATGCTAAGTACACTGGTTCTGCTTTGCAGGAGTTCTTTCACAAGAAAGGGATACGACACACAGTTATTTCACCCCAGCAAGGTGGGGTGGCAGAGCTGCGAAGTGGAGCTCTAGTTCAGGCTGCACAGGTGTTGCTGAAAGATTCTGAGTTACCTCCAAGGTTTTGGCTGGAGGCAATCAAGTATGTGAGCTTCACCTGGAATCGTGTCTATAACTCATTGGTAGGTGACACACCGTTTTCTTTGTTAAATGGCCGAAAACCCCAGGTTCACTTTCTGCGGACGTTTGGGACCCCTGCGCTTGTCTCTGTGCCTGAGGCTTTGCGAGGGCCAGATGGAGCCAAAGTCCAGAAAATGATCTTCTGTGGGTATGAGCCAGAAGCCCGTGCATGGAGGTTCGCATTTCCATCAGGTGATCAGAGTAAGTTACTGATCAGTAAACACGCTGAGTTCTTTGAGCAGAGTGAGAAGCCAAAGATTGTTTTCCAGCGTGATCTTCTCTCAGATTGTCTCTCTGACCCAGAGGACAGTTGTGATGAGGAGGAAGGAGAGGCTGAGCCTGCTGATGAGGACCAGGTCCAGGATCAGGGTTCAGAATCCGATGATGATGATCAGTTCACTGACCAAAGTCAGGAACAGGAGGAGGTATCTGTAGTTTCTCCACAAGATGTTAAGAGAGCACCCAAAAGCGAGCCTAGTTCTCCTGTGAGTGTGATGGAAAGGATTCGAAAACGCTTTAAGTCAGAGGGGGAATCCCGTGATGCAGAGGTCACATCTGCTGGTGACGGTGAGCCAGAGGAAACATCTGTGTTTGTGCCTAGGAGGTCCAGTCGCACAACAAAGGGTATTCCGCCAGAGAGGTATCAGGCCACAGGTGCGTGGGTAAATTTCGCACAGTGCGTTTCTGAGGATTGTGAGGTGGTTCCACAAATGCCAAACAGGTCTGCCAAGGGAAGGCGCAAGGCATTGGGGAAGGAATTGATCTCACAAGGTATTACTGAAGATGTTGCACAGGTATCACGCAGGGACACAAGGGGGGGTGTTATAGTTCAGAATTTATCTGGTTAAATTCCCTGGTGTGTGTCACCTGCTGACGTCAGCTT